AGCAGGAGCAGGAGCAGGAGCAGGAACCAGGAGGCCAGGAGTAGGAGGCAGGAGCAGGAGCAGGAGCAGGAGCCAGGAGCAGGAGCAGGAGCAGGAGCAGGAGCAGGAGCAGGAGCAAGGAGCAAGGAGCAAGGAGCAAGGAGCAAGGAGCAAGGAGCAGGAGCAACGAGGAGGTGGGTGACAGGTGGGATGGGAATGCAGAGCTGAGATAGAAGCGAGGTTGAGGAAGCGAAGCAAGGGTTTGGGGGAAACAAGGTAGGACGGCACTTAGAGAAACCAAAGGACGTGGGCGGGAGAGAAGGAATCGGACTGTGAAGAGCAGACCAGGTTAGCAGGGGGCAGACAGAAGTCACACAGTCTTGCTGCCTTTCGTTCAGCATTTGAGTCAGGTGACTGCGATCTCCTAGAAAGAGCTTGAGAGAGGGAGTAAAAGATAGGACGGTCTCACAAGTTAGATGGACGCAGTCCCGAGAAGGGAGTCAATGGTCATTGTAATGATATCAGCAACATGTTGCTTGGAGAGATTTGATCCAGATCATCGAAGGTTTCGATTTTTGAGAAGGAACCTTTTGTTTTGACAGAGGAGTCAAATCAGCCAGTAGGTTTCTTTTGCCGTGTTTTCCAAGCTAGCCAACGCTTCCTCTCAAGCATCGAAGCTAACAATCTCTCTACCTGTCCTTTTCTCTCCCCCCCTCCCCCGCCGCGCGCGCTCTCTCTCTCTTTCTCTCTCTCTCTCCTGACACTCTTGGCGCAGAAACTCTGTGAGCGGGAGGTAAACGGAAGAGAGAAAAAGAGGACATGTCAGAAGCGAACGATTACGTCACTCTGATATCAGCGGAGGGATTTGAGTTCGTGATAGAGCGACGATGTGCGCTCATGTCAGGAACAATCAAGGCGATGCTCTCTGGTCCAGGTGACTGACCTCTTCACTCCTCCGTTCCTGTCTTGCACTGCTCATCCCTCTTGCCTGCCCTTGTTCTCCTCACTGCCCCGCCCATCTCTCCTCCTTTGCAAGGCTGAAGGTTTAACATGCTCTGCTTGCAGCGACTTTCATGGAGTCGCAGGAGAATACCGTGACGTTTCCTGAGATCTCAACTCCTATCCTCGAGAAGGTTGTAGAGTATTTCTACTACAAGGTGCGATACGCACAGAGCAGCGACATTCCAGGTGACTGAAGCTCCTGTACTTGTTTGTTCCTGAATCTCTCTTCTCAGAGTTCAAGATAGAGCCAGAGAACGCTCTCGAACTGCTCATGGCGGCAAATTTCCTGGATGCTTAAAGTCTATCAATCCCTACTCTGATGACTTCATTACTCTGCCTTGTCGTGATTGTTCCATCACCTCAACTTCACACCTCAACATCCCAACAAGAAGCGCAGTCAAAAGCTCCTCACTTGCTCTATATACGTTTCATTTTGTTCTTTATCCTTCTATTTAGGCCCCCACCCCAGCTGCCGCGTTATAAGCTAGCTTCGCTCTCTGAGCATACAACGATCAGACGACAAGGGACAGGTTGTTAAGCTTCACAGACCTTCATGGAGTCGAGGAACGACAGCTTGTTCTGCACTGAAAGCATGCCCGCCTGCATGCCGGTGCGGTAAGCAGCATCGTATCCAGATCCTGCAAGGCTCTCAGTTCCAACGAAGCTCTAGAGCTCTTCTCACCTCCTGGTCCGTCCGCCTTGATCGCAGCCTTGTAGCCAGCACGATAGCCCTCAACGTAAGGAAGCAGTCCCATCTCCTGCCACAGCTCATGAGAGACTGAAAGAGGACAATGTTTCTGCTGTTGTGTTCCGCGACATCACGATGAACATCAACTTCCTTGTGATGTACGCAGTGCGATTTCCTCAGGTTTTATGACTTAGAAACTCTGTCTGTGTTGTGTCTATAACTTCCTTCTTCCTCTTGACAATGACTTCTTTCAAAGCCTCACAATTCATTGTCTAACATGTTACACAAAGTGAGGTGGGATGGGTCAATACGAAATGAGATGAGAAGACGAGGCGAGGGAGTAATCTCATCCTTTTCTCGCTTCTTCAGCATGGACTAGCTCTCAGATTGACTGGTACACACACTTTCAAGGTCTTTCCGTGTGCGCTGAAACTGCCGCCAAATCCTGCTTCCTGCATTATGCTCCTTTCCCTGCTGTATTGCAGCCGAGTCCTGTGGCTCCTCTCCAACTCCCGATCCATTTGTTCACACAATCTCAATGTTCTCACACTCCATGGCTTTCCTCAAGAATCAAATGCAAGAAAACCTTTCCTCGCCTATCCAACGAGATTATCTGTCTCCATAACACCTGGCCGTAGACAACAGACACACGTAAATACATTCTACCAGCATGGTTGATATTCTTCCTCCTCCTCCCCTTGCACATCCTCTTTCTTCGCTATATCTATCTTCTCATCATTGTCCTACTTCTTGTCTTCAACCTCGGCCTGCTCTCAACCTCTCCTCTCCTTTCCTCTCGCCATCATCGCAATCCCCATCCGCGCCTGTTCATGCCGACTTAGAGTACCCGTGTAGATCAGGCAATTTCATTCAACATCGATAGGGGTGGGGTAGTGCGGAAGAGTCAGACCAAGGATATTTACTCAAAAATATTAAAAATAATCTAAAATATTTTTCTATATTTCATGCTACAATATAAAATCTCATAAATGTTTTGATTTCGTACAAATAATTTATATTATAATAAATTGATAATACTAAATTTCACTTAAGCATTAGATTTTTGAATATTGCAAAAAAAACATTGACTTTGTGGCGGATGGTGACCACCCCTAGGTACCCCTACTCCTCATAACTTGGTCACCTCAAAGTACCCCTTCTTTGTCTTTCATTCAGCATATCGAGGGACCGGTGGCTTGATAGACTACCATTCCATTTCCTACCTTGAAAATTGTCCTCGCCTCGCTCCTGCTCCCGCTCCCGCTCCCGCTCCTGCTCCTGCTCCTGCTCCTGCTCCTGCTCCTGCTCCCGCTCCCGCTCCCGCTCCCGCTCCTGCTCCTGCTCCTGCTCCCGCTCCCGCTCCCGCTCCCGCTCCTGCTCCTGCTCCTGCTCCTGCTCTTTCGTTCCCCAATATTGACGGCTTCTGCAGAATCCGTCCTTCACTGCACCTACAGATGATGATGGCTGAACAAGACAAGCTTTCGATGCTGGAAGGAGTGTATGAAACTCTGCTCATCGACTTTCACGAGCACTGCATGCTCCGGTCACTTGCCATATGCCCAGTCACCTCGACTGACGGGTTGACAGGATCAACAACTTGCAAAAGGATCTGATAGAGCTCATTGAGATCCAAGACGAGCAAGTAGATGTATCCGCTATCCTCCCTCTTCCTGACGGCGTCAAACCCAACCAGCTCCTCCTCCTCCGCACATGTAAGATCCTCATGTCTTCCTTGCCCGCCGCTCAGCCATCATGTCAGTGCAGGATCAGTATGTGCAAGAGATGCACAAAGTGATCACCATGACGGACTATCACTGTAAGGATATTGTGCGATGCTTGCGGCGACAAGCGCATGCAGGCAGGCCGGTGACGATGGCAGAGGTCGACATCCTCCTCAGCTCGGCCAAAAGACAGGTGCAGCAAGCCATGTCAGATCCGCTGACCTCTAACGTCCTCTGGCTCCTCTTGCTCCTCTTGCTCCTGCTCCTCCTCTTTTCAGTTTCGTGTCGTGCGCATTTGGCTCCGCCGTCTGTACGAAGACTGGATGGGCGCGATCGTAAAGACTTCGGTCCACCTTGACACTTCACCTTTCTCTCTCCCTCTCCCTCTCCCTCTCCCTCTCCCTCTCCCTCTCCCTCTCCCTCTCCCTCTCCCTCTACCTCTCCCTCTCCCTCTACCTCTCCCCCTCCCTCCCCTGCCCGTTCTCTTGCTCTTGCTCTTGCTCTTGCTCTTGCTCTTGCTCTTGCTCTTGCTCTTGCTCTTGCTCTTGCTCTTCTCTCTCGCTCCTGCTCCTGCTGACTTGTGTCGCTGCCCGGCCTCTACCAGAGCTCCCGGAGCGAGGAGCAGGACCTTCCTCTTACGATGGACGCCAGCAAGATGCTTCCTGCTCTTCGAAGAACTTTCAAGAGCACAGGAGGGGAGGACGGGAGTATTGAGGAGGCAGATCTGTCCATGGAGAGCAACTTACTGGGCAACTCGCACGACGGGGTAGAGTTGATGGAAGAGGCTGAATGGGAGGCGTCATTCGAGCTGTTCAAAACCTCCTCCTCCGGCCTGCCCTTCGCTTTCTGAGAGGTGACGCAGAGAAAACAAGGGAGGACGAGATGAGTGTGTTTCGACCTCCCGTAAGTCATTCAGATGATTGTGACAGAGGGAAGGCGGTGCAGGATAACGAGGATGAAGGGACTTGGGAGAGGAAGGAGTGACGGTCGTCAAGTTGAGGATGGGGCAAGGAGGAGGTAAACAGAAGGGTGACAGGGCGAGGGAGCAATGAAGAAAGTGTGAAGTTTCATGTTGTTACTGCATTATCTCCTCCCTAAACCTCTCTGCCTGGAACCTGTCAAAAGGATCAGCATCATTACCTTTCCTCGTCCCACTCCCACTCCTACTCTCTCCTCTTGCTCTTCCTTGCCTTCCTTGCCCTCCCCTCCTCCTCTCTCATCGCTACCTGAAGTCTTCAGGATGATCTTGGTGCCCGAGCTCACGCCATTGCCCTGTTGGACATCAGAGGAAGAAGACCATTTGCAAGCGACTTCATCACCTTGCCATCCCCATGGTTGGGAGAGCGGGATGCGGTGGCATGCTGCAAGGATATGAGCGAGAGGAGGAGGAGGAGAATCAATTTGTTACATCCTTGTTGGACTGATCGTGATGCTTGCATTGCTTCAACCATTTCTTCACCTAAAAATCAATGAGGCTCCTCCTCCTCCTCCTCCTCCTCCTCCTCCTCACCATCTTCCTCGTCACATCAAATCCGAAGAGTTTAATTCCGTCCACATCCGAAGCATCAGGATCCTTCCGAATCAACATCAGCGCAACTCCCTCCCCTCCTTCCCCTCCCTCTTCCTCCTTCACCTCATATAGCTCGCTAGGATCTTCCTGCTCGTACTATTGATCCTCTAGCTCACAGAACATGTCTCTTGTCACCATTCTGTCACACATCATCGAAGATGACCGCTGCTCTTGATACGAGGCGAGATCTAGCATCGTCGATTAGTCACGCCCAACACAAGGACTGTCGATCTACCTCGACG